CATGGGACGCAGGCCTGGCTGTCCCTGCTGGCAGCTGGCCCCCCTCTAGCTGGTGGTGAGTCTGCTCCTGGCCATGAGCTAACGGGCCTGGTGCTTTTCGAGCCGCATAGCTCAGGGCCAGGCCTCGGCGATGGCTCAGCCAGGACATCCCCACCGCCCTCGCTAATCCTCACGGCTCTGTTCAAGGAGGCCCCAGTTGTGCAAGAGACTGGGCTGGTGTTTGAGTGCACAGGACAAAGCCTGAAAGAATTGTGCATGTAGCCCAGGCGAGTCGCTATTTCCCCGCCCCTTCCCAGCACTGGCTGGTCTCTGCGGGGCTAGTCCGTCGTGCCCGGCAGTGGGGGCTCGTGCTGTTCAGGCAGAAGTGTCTGGATTTATCCCCCACAGACAGCTCCCCAGGGAGTCTCCCTTTGGGTTCTCCTGCAACCGCTTTGCACAGCTCTGAGCGCCTGCCGCAGGCCGATGGCAGTGAAGGGATCCTGCTCCGCAGCAAGAGCAGGCTGTCTAGTACCGCTGTGTCACTGGTCTCAGGACCAGCCAGGCGCTCAGCTCCCCTGTAACATGCAAGGGCATCTTCCAGCCAGCTTCCCCCCGCCCCCGTACCGTGGCACTGACAGTGGGCGGGACTGGCACCGGGGCCTAGGGTTGCGAGCGACCAGCTGACAGGAAGGTTGCACTCACTTTTAGATCATCCAGGTTGGAAGGCAGAGGGCCGGGCTTGGCAGAAGGAATGCAGGTCTGCCCAGCAAAGGTGGTTTTCACTGGAGAAAGGGGCAAGCTGGTGATGGGAGCTGCTGAAGAGTTTGAACCTTTGATGATTTGCTCACTTGGTTGCCTGCAATGACCAAGGAGAGGGTTTGGTAACCGTGTCCAGGTTTTGCCATGTTGATTAATAGAAAATGGGACCAACTGACGGAAGGGTGGCCAAAGAGCAGTCCCTGCCCACCTAACGTATAGTTCAACTTCTGCCTGATGGCTGCTCTCCTCTTCCCCCTCAAGGGGCGCCCGGAGATAATGCTTCTGTGACGGCGCGACGGGGTTTTCCCATCTCTTGCACCCCCGTAGTGGCACGGACAGACTCCACCAGCCAGTAGAATAGATGGAGTTTACCAGCCAGAAACCTAACTCCCTTCCAGCCTTCCCCCAGCCAGGGCTCCACTCCCCTTCTTCCCATTGTTCCGCTCCCTGGGAGATACCTGTCTGGGAGTTTTGAAGCCCCCTTGCATACTGACTCATCCCCTGCCCTGCTGGGCCGTGCTGCAGCCAGCAGCCAGTGGAGGTCACTCACAACCCACTGCCCAGCCTAGCAACCAACAAAGTACCCCCACTATGTCACAGCTCCCCCGAGGTGATGGTCAGGGACACTGGAAACCCTCTACAGGGCCCTTAGGAAGGAGCTGACCAAGCCTGCCAAATCCTAGGAGGGGCTGCAGAGAGAGGACTGAGGCTGGTCCATTTTCGGGGGCTGTGTTGCTGTCTTTCCTCTCTCTGGCTCTGGGCGGGCCGGGGTCCCAGAGCCCTGACGTGCTGCACGAAGGGGCAGCAGGCACAGAGGCCCGACCTGCAGGCGTGCTTGGAAGGTGCAGACCTTGTTTCGTACAGGCTGCTCACTCACTTGTGCTGGGCTTGGTGGAGCCCAGAGTAGCTGAAGTGCTGCTGCTGCTGCTGCTGGCTGAGGATCTGCAGCTGCAGGAAGAGCTGCTGCTGCTGGAGGAGTCTTGCATAGGCTGAGTCCATGGGTGGAGGAGACTTCTCTGCTTTCTGGTCAGGCGGGATGTACTGGTGATACTTCAGCTTCTTCACCTTTGGCTTGGTGTCCTTGGGCTTTTTGTGGCGGCTCTTGCTATCGCTGGATGGTTTTGGCTGCGAACCAGGGAAAAGAGCAGGGTTAGCTGGGAAATCAGCTCTGGAGCTGGACTTGCCCAAGTGATGACTCGTTCGCAGTCCTGACTGTAGAGACCTAGAGCCAGAGGATGGGCACGTCCTTCCCCGCCAGGGCTCTGCCCACATGCTTAGGCCCCAAGTCTGGGTCTGACTCTAAGGGGGTGCCTGCACTAGCCAGCTCATGGCCACACGGCTGCGGCAGCACCGCCCGGGGGCCGGAAGTCGGCGTGTGTGAATGCTTTTTGTCAGAACTTCCACCCCAACGAGTGGGTTTCGATCCCCTGCCGACAGTGCAGCGTTCACACTTGCATTGGCCATGGCAAACCCTGGTTGCTCACTGGGGGAAGGGTAAAGCACCCGGGAAGGACAAAAGTTTTGTCGAGCAGCTGTAGACACAGCCTCAGTGACGAACCCCAAAGTGCTCCCCATCACACCCGAGGTACCAACAGTGTCCAAGCAGCTGCCCTTTGGGGGAAAATTTTCCATTCCCAGTTTGTATCCTTCTCCCTGGAGCTGGCGGGGCTGCCTTGGTCTCAGAACCCAGAGAACTGGCCAAGCGGAGTCTGTCCGAATGGCTTCTCCCACTCGTCAGTGGAGTAAGGCGCCTGCAGACGGAGCCGCACACCAGTCCTGGCGTCTCCTGGGCGGAGCGCGACAGTCACTGGCTTCACTCGTTTGATTGAAAATTCTTGTGTGCGATTGTCTAGATTATGACGGTCAATGGAGAATGAAGGGGACTTGCAGTAAACTACGCAGAGAGCGGCCCTGGGGCCTTTTCCATGGGGTGCTTTTCAGGAAAGATTTTGCACCAAAATTGCATTCTGGTTTTGAGCAGCCGTAGAGCTGGGCCGGACAATTCAAAATGTAACACGCTGGAGAAAAGCCAGACGTGATTTGAATGGAAATTCTCTTGGAAAAGGTTTCCATCTTTCAGCCAGCTCTCCCGCCACAAACAGGCCATTCCCGACGGCAGCCTGGGGCTTCCGCCCCATTCACTGGAGTGGGAGAAGGATACGGGCAAACCCTCCTCCGACTGCAGGCGGAAATGAAAAATCTACGCAGGCCCCTAAAATGCCAAGTCCCGTGAGCCTGCAGTAAGGTGTGTGTGTCTGTCTGTCTGTCTGTGTCTGCAAGGGCCATCCGGTTCAGTGTGTGTGTGAGTGAGTGTGTGTGTGTGTGTGTGTGTGTGTGTGTGTGTGTGTGTGTGTGTGTGTGTGTGTGTGTGTGTGTGTGTGTGTGTGTGTGTGTGAGAGTGAGAGAGAGAGAGAGAGAGAGCTGGTTCCCTCTAGTTTAAACCTTTGGTGGCAGCTCTATCCTCTATCGTTTAACCATATAGTGGAGTGTTAATTCCTCAGTCAATAAACCCATGCTAGTGTAACCCTGGGTGGTCTCCAGTGGGAATTTTTTGGGGTAACAGAGACACCAGGTACCACGAAATAACCCAGGACCCACCCCACAAGAGGAGAGGGGGGAAGCCACTCCTAATAGTCTGTAACTTTAAAGAAAACAGGTCATCCTTGTGGTCCCTAAAAGACTAGCAGATTAATGTGGCATAAGCTTGTGTGGGTAAAAACCACTCAAAGTGGTTTTTACCCATAAAAACTTATGCCCAAACAAATGGATTAGTCTTTAAGGGGCCACAAGCATGCCTCATTGTTTTTACTGGAAAGAGAGAAAGGAGACGGTATAAGCCATAGCTTGGAGGAAGATCGATCGATCTATCGATCTATCTAATCCTCTCGACCGTGCTGTTCTACTACTGTGTGCAGTATGGGTGGACTGGGACAGGTTTGAAGAGGCCCGTAGGTGCTAGGCAGCCTGGGGCAGGGTTTCATTGCTGTGGGTTGGAACTGGCTGCTAATATGCTTTAAGAAAATGCAGCTCAAGGCCTTGGCTGGCTGGTTCTTTCTTTGCAAGGGGGCAGAGCAGGGATGTTACCTTCACGGCTGCCGGCACCAGGAGGGGAGGGCTCTGGTGGCCATTCCTCTGCTTTGGGCTTTCGCACTGGCTGTTCTGCACTGTCAGGTCAGTGATGAGCTTTTCCGAGCTGTGGGAATGATCCTGGAACCAGAGCGAGTCGCCATCAGCACCTGGTGCCGAACTCCCAGCAGTACAGGAACCGCCCCTCTCCAGGCACAGAGCCGGTGCCCTGCAGGGCGTCCCCACGGTGTGTGGCTGACTGGCTTGAGGCCGGTGGGGTCCTGCACCCCCGGCGGGATGTCACACTAGACCAGCTCGGCGCCATGGCCGTGGACACGGCGGGGGGGGGGGGGGCACGCAGAGTGGCCGCGTCGCGCCGCCG